CAAGAATGATAGAATACAAGATTGCGCCGTCCTGGGCGTTGACATTTGTGTACCACAAGTAAACAAAGAATAGAGCGAAAAGAAGAACGAGTTGAAACAGCCAAAGCAGTTCACTTTACTGCGAAAAACGTGTTTTAATTTTGCTAAATGCGAAAATATTGCATTTTTCACCTAATCTATTAGAGAACAGTGAACATTGTAGTGCACTCCATTGCTTTGCAATTGAGGCTGCTTCAGCAAACGTTTTAGTGCACTCCATTGCTCTGCAATTAAGGCTGCTACAGAAAACTGCAGCAGCATCTCTGCGGGACTGATTAGTTAACTTGCTAATGGAGGCTGCGTGGAGCAGAAACAAAATCATTGTGAGGAAATGCTGTTAATATAATAATAGAGAAACATTTCGGGAACGGCTTTGCCGTGCCCTATTTACACAAAATGCAGCGATTCGTCCCAGCGCTACTCTTGCATCTACGCTTCTTGCGTCTTGACGGTTGTCGCAACTTAACACACAGCACTTCATTGTATTGGTTTTTACACAGTCTTCAATTCAAAAATCACCCACAAATTGCAAATTAACACGATTTAAACTGATTTTTCACTTATAATTCAAATTTCTCTTTCGCTGATTTGTAAACAAAGGTTTATTTACAAGTTACCACAACTGTCAAAATCGGCAAAACCAAAGTAGTAGCGGTTCCACTGACGGCGCCACCTTTGTTCGCTGCACCGTGGGTGCAGACGATGTTTTCTTTTGATTCCAGGTTTTTACTACTGAACGTGCTGCACCAGACAATGGATCGCAAACCAGCAATCACGGGACCAAGGAGTACTCCAAAATGAACCACAATTCATATAAAAAATATGGTCTAATTGACATTGCGATGTCCTAGGGCAGGACCATATACTCCATCCCTGCATTACATCAGAGTAGCACAAAACTACTCCAACATATTAACAATGGCATTGTTGTTATATTTTTTCGTTTGTACACGCTTTTGTTCTTCACTTCTCAAATGCTTTTTCGAAATTAATAAAAACCAAGACAAAAATTAAAAATTACATGTTGCCTCTGACGGCATTCGAACCCGAACATGCTGGGAGCTAAGAACTAACAGCGAGCATCTCTAAACGTTCAGCTACAGCCAGACATGCAAATGTGCTTTCAAGGGCTCAACTTCAATCACATTTCGTTAAAACACGAGCAGTGATCGGATAACAAACAATAAGCTAGCGCAGAGACACCAGTTGGTCCGCTACAGCATGACAGAGGAACACTTTTGTAAGTACTCCGATTTACCACAAATAGACTACATGGTCCCACGATTTTTGCAGGGAGGGAGTACTCTTTACACGCATGCATGGAGTAGTCGCGATTTTTGCAGGGTTACTACACTGTTGCCACTCCTCAATGCCTTTTCATAAACTTACCCTTTCAACTAAAATTTTTCATGCTATAATAGATTTTAGCTAAATATTGTTGCGGAGATTGCAGACTTATTGAATGCAACCATGTTCTCATTCA